ATCTGGGGGGGCTGGGGTGGGGAGTGGGGCGGGGATACCGATGTGGACGGGCTCATGGATCTGATCTGGGGGGGCTGGGGTGGGGAGTGGGGCGGGGATACCGATGTGGACGGGCTCATGGATCTGATCTGGGGGGGCTGGGGTGGGGAGTGGGGCGGGGATACTGATGTGGATGGGCCCATGGGTCCGATAACTGCCCCCCGTTCCCCCTGGTGTGTGTGTCCTGCTGTCCCTGTCCCCAGTGACCGGGCAGGAATTTGGGGGGGCTGCAGTTCCCACGCTGGGGTCTCCGTCTGTCCCTCGGGTTGCCGGCCCCGCTCCCCGCCGGGCCGTGGGGGGGTCAGCGAGTGGGGGGTCCTGGGGACGAAGCAGAGACGTCTCCTCAGCAACTGGGGTCTTTAGCCACCTCCCCCATCACCCCCTCCCCCCAGGGTCCTGCCTGCCCCCCACCCCCTCCCTCGACTCCCCCAGGTCACCCACCAGACACCCCCCACTGCATTCCAGCCCCTCTCCTCCAGCTGCGGGTGCGGGGGAGGCCTGGCTCCATGGCCTGGGGGTTCCCCGCAGGACACCTGGGTTCAATCCCCGTTTCTCGCCATCTGGGGGATCAGTGGGGTCGCCCGCTCCCCCGGGGACACGGCAGTGGGGTGAGGGGAGCCCCCCATATGCAAGGTCACCTCGTCTCGAGTCCTCACCTCCTCCAGCTGTATGCGGCTTCGGCTAGGACCAGTACCAGGGCCAGCAGGACCCCGGCGGCCAGGGACAGACGGACGATGGCAAACGGGGGGTAATCCTGCTTCGGGGGGGGTCCTAGAGGGAGGATAGGGGCAGGAGGTGAATGCACCATGCTGGGGGGGGGCAGTGTTCCCCCAACTCCCTATGGGAAAAATGGGCCAGTCCCACCTCCCCACAGTAAAGTCTTCCCTCCCCGCAAATCTAGAGAGAGCCAATTTGATCTGCCAGCCCAGAGACCCCCGTACCTGGCCGTGTGCTGCCTGGGCGGGTGGGAGCCGGCGCTGCTCCAGGCTGAGTCGGGTCGGTTCGCCCTGCGGGACCAGAGCCAGTGTCTGTCGGGGCGGGGGGAGGGTAAAGGGGAGAAACAGCGACTCAGCAACCCCCCCTCGCCCCGTCACTGTCATTCTCAGTGGGGGAGAGTCCGAGGAGGGGGGGATTTTAGTGGCTGGCGACGGTGCCGGCTGGGCAGCCCCTGGACCCCGACTGCTCTGTGCATCCCTAGAGCTGGGCGTCCCCCTGCTCTGCAGCTCTCCCGGGGGCAGGGATCTGAGCGCCCCATTGGTGCAGAGCCCCCCTGAAGGTCGGGTTAGGGGTGGGGCTGGGAGCGGGGATGCCAAGCCGGGCCCCTCACCTGCTACCACCAGCTGCACGGGGTCGCTGTGGGGGGAGCTGACAGGCGGCTCCCTCAGGCTCTCATAACTGCAGGTGTAGATGCCCCCGTCCTCCCGCCGGACGTTGGGAATGCGGAATTCGGCCGTCGAGCCGGCTGGCTCCGTGTGCCACCGTGCGACCCCGGCCCGGTACATCTTGAACCGCACGCCCTGCCGCGGCCCGCGGCAGGAGATGGTGACGTCCGTCCCCGGCGCGATCTCCCCGCTGGGGCTGAGGGAGATGGAGGGCTTGGAGTAGTGCGCTGTGTTCGGGGAAAGAGAGAGAATCGGCATCAGACCCGACGTTTGCGGGGATTCTGTGGCCTTGTCCCAGTACGTCTGACCAAACGTAGGGCAGGAAGCGGTCATCTCGTCCAGCTCCCTACGCTGGGCCTAGATCAGGCGCCTGCCCAACCTGGCCTTAAAAATCCCCCCAGACGGGGACTCCACCGCCTCTCTCGGGGGCCATTCCAGAGCTGAACTTCCCCCGGAGATAGAACGTTTTCCCTAATATATTTCTATCCGTAAACTATGCTAATTTCGTCTTCTCTGGCCCCTGATGGACAGGGAGAACAATAGATCACCATCCTCTGTACCAGATCAGAAGATTTATCAGGTCCCCTCTCGGTCTTCTTGTCTCCAGACTAAACGTGGTCGATTTTTTCAATCTTTCCTCGCAGGTCATGGTTCCTAACCCTTTCGTCTTCGTTCCTCTCCCCTGGACTCGCTCACGTCGGGGCCCAGAACTGGGCGCAACACTCCCGCTGAGACCCGACCCCCAACTTAACGACGGGTACATTAACGTTAACACTGGACTAGTATTTTGAAATGTAACTGAATAATAATAAAATAAATACCAATTCAATATGCCGATAGAGACTGTTCTCCAGTGTCCCCCTTCCCGGCTCTGACACCGCAGAGCCTTGCCTGTGTCCCCATTCCTGTTCCCTATTCCCGTTCCCCCCTCTTAGCAAACATGAGTCCAATTTCCCTTCCCTTTCCTGTTTGACCCCAGTTCATATAGCAATATTCTCAGCTATACCTTAACCAACCATTTTACTGAAATTTAACTAACCAATCCTAACCTATAGTAACATGATTCTCTAACCAATTATATCCCACTACTCTCATTAACTTACACCTAGCCAAATTAATTATACAGAGACAGAAACAATTAGAGAACCAGACAGATTAACAATAGCAAAGTGGGGGCCAGAAAGATAAAACACAGAAATGAGGATTTCACAACCACAACCACTGATAAGTGATTTCTTGCAGACAGGATGCTGTCAAACTAAGTTTTCTTTAACCATCTGAAGATCTGTTTCTTTCTCTGGTGGGGATGGGCACTATCAGGACAGGATCGTCTTCCTAACAGCCCAATGCCACCTTATTTCAGTGTGACGGGTTTGGGATGTGATAGGGTTACCATCCGTCCGTATTTCTCCGGACATGTCCGGCTTTTGCGTCTTTAAATAGCCATCCGGGAGGAATTGGTAACAAGGTTAAAAGGTCCGGGATTTTTCCCCCTCCCTCCCTCCCTCTCTTCCATGCAAAGTGCGGCGTGGTGATTGGGCGGCTGGGCCTGATTGCGCCGCTCCCATTGGCCTCCAGCAGCCAAAGCCCCTCCCCCCCCTCTGCCTGCAGCCAGGTGTAACAACACAAACAGCCCCACCGGCAGCGTGTTTTGCCTACACGTGGAGCCAGCATCTGACCAGCCTGGGCATGGTAAGGGGAGTCCCAGGGGGCAGTCAGGGAGCAGGGGGAGGGTTGGATGGGTCCCTGGCCTCCACTTGCCACCCCCCTCCGCGCGTCCCCCCCCCCGCCTCTCCCGTGCCTGCTTGTGCTGCCCACATTCCTACGCCCTCCCGGCAGCAACTGCTGTCTGCTGCCCCAGGGTCCTGCTGCCCCCCATCCACTAATGGCAAGGCAGGCTGCCCTTACCCTGCCCTTCCACCCTAG